ATAACAATACTGTTTTACAACACAGATTCTCTTTCCCCTTGACTATCAGAAATGCTACTCAGAGCAGAGGAAGTGTTCTGTCAGTCCTCCACCTGATCAGAGAAGCACACGGAGATAAATAACATGGCGTGCAAATCTGCTCAGTCATAGCATCCAAGCAGCTGTGCTTCCTCACCCGGATACAGAGAAATCTTCCATGTGCCATACTTCTTCCACTTTTCTGGCTACTCACCCCACCCCTTCAGCTACGAATTTCACTTGTAATGCAACTACAGAGGAGGGTAAATGAAACACATCCCTCTGCTTCAGCTTTCTTGGCCTGACTAACTGGCTGAACCTGCTGCTGTCCCTTCCTCACCGCAGGCTGACAAGAAGAAACATGAAGAATTCCTTGTTCGCCTCAGAGAAGAAAAAGCTCAGAAGAATGGGAAGGCGAGTATGAAAGGGAGAAATCATGAAAAAAAAAAATTAAAACCCAAAAGGCCTAAACTGAAGTCAGGTGAAGAACATTCAAGAGAAAAGGAAATAAAAATAGAAAACAAACAGAAAAAAAGACAAAAAGGGAAGATATTAAAGAATGACAGTTGGTACGATGGGAGTAGAAGTGAGATAAGACAAAATGGTGTTGTAGAGGAAGTGGAGGAGAGACTAACATGGGAAAGATTAGAAGAAGCAGTCTTGAAGGAAGAGAGATATGAAAAGACATTAAGGATCATGTCGTGGTTTAACCCCAACCAACAACTAAGCACCACGCAGCTGCTCACTCACTGCCCCCCCCCACCCAGTGGGGTGGGGGAGAGGATCGGGAAAAGAAGTAAAACTCATGGGTTGAGATAAGAACGGTTTAATAGAACAGAAAAGAAGAAACTAATAATGATAATGATAACATTAATAAAATGTTATCATTACTGTTATCACAACAGTAATAATAAAAGGATTGGAATATACAAGTGATGCGCAGTGCAATTGCTCACCACCCACAGACCGACACCCAGTTAGTCCCCGCGTGGCGATCCCCCGCCCCCACTCCCCCAGTTTATACACTAGATGTGACGTCCCATGGTATGGAATACCCTGTTGGCCAGTTTGGGTCAGCTGCCCTGGCTGTGTCCTGTGCCAACTTCTTGTGCCCCTCCAGCTTTCTCGCTGGCTGGTGGTGAGAAGCTGAAAAATCCTTGACTATAGTCTAAACACTACTGAGCAACAACTGAAAACATCAGTGTTATCAACATTCTTCTCATACCTAGCTCAAAAACATAGCACCATACCAGCTACTAGAAAGACAATTAACTCCACCCCAGCTGAAACCAGGACAATCAGAAAAAAGGAAGCTACAATGTCATCTTATGAGCAAAGCTATTTCACCAGTCCTTTGGTATTCATCATGTAATGATCATGAGGCTATTAAAAGTTCTGAAGCATTTCCAGTAAGCAGCCGGTTCCTCAAACCCAGATGCTGTTGGAAGCCAGTGTTCTGACATGTGGATAAACCCATAATTTAGTGAAGGACCCCAGTGGATGGGCAGGCTAATACCAGCAAAGAGCAACTGTAAAAAAAGTAGCTATTTTTTATTCGGACCACCCTTCAGCCTTCAGGTTGAGAGGACACCAAAAGCGTGTTTTGTAAGATTTGTATTTTCTCTTCCTCATTCCTGATACCTCCAGTGCAGGGAAAGAAAAAAACAAATAGCTTTTACGATTGCTATTTGAAATATGAAGCAGGCATCTTATTTAAAGGCAACCAACCAGATAAGCTAGTTAACATGGCACAATAACAACCCAGTCTCCCAGTGTAGGCAACTGAAGGTAAAATATAATATTGTAATCCCAATTACTGAACTATGATGCCAACAAGCCTTGTTCAATAGAGGATTTTTGCTGACATTCAGCTGGTAAAGGGGAGTCAGGTAAAAAGTAGAATTACATGCAGAAGACCAAGTGACACCAAAATTTAGCTCACAGTATGAAGATTACCTATCCTGCACCAGGTGGGTGGTGATTATAACTTTATTCTATAACCTTGTGCATGGTTGATTATACTGCACTGCAGAGAGACAGAACAGTAATAACAGGACTGCAAATGACTGATTTTTTCCAAGCTGTTCCACACAGATATCAGCCAGCTTGAATGAAATGAAAAATAATGAAATTAAGGCAAATTATCAGTTCAGGCAAGATCTACTGCTATATGTTTGGCATGCTGTAATGTAATTAGTACTGATCAAACTATTAATTGTGGAAAATTATCAGTCACATTTTGCCCTTGTTTCTCTTACTGACTCTTCTGTGAACAGATCATGACTTTTATAGACTTCTTTCATTTTGATATTGGTTCTAATTGCTCAAAATCAGTACGTGAGAAAAAAAATAACCGACAGGCTTCTTTTGTACAGCTGATACCAAAGTTCAAGTATCCTGAAGTACTTGTATTCAGTTTACTAACAATAGTACAGTTGCTTACTTAGTTGCCTGATGTGATTTATGTTCCCTTACTTTTACAAAATGAGGAGGAGGAATGAAGGAAGTAATGGGAGTAATGAATTTCTATGGCCTGTAAGACAAAGAGGGTAGTAGGCAGGCCTAACAAATGGTAGGAAATCCCTAAATTTTCCAACCCGTCTATGCAAAGAAAAACAATTTATCTAATGTTATGAGAAGCCTGAAATTAGAACAGGCAAGCATTCCACCCCCTGCCATATAATGGCAGAATGTGCCTAGTAATCAATTAACATAAGTCTCCTGTAAGGTAGGAAAGTACCATAATCACCATCTGACTTTGTGTGAAGACACAAAGACTACATCCAAGCCTGAGGAACTAGGCTCCTGCATCCATGTTAGACCCCAGCCACATCTTTATGTGAGCATGTGACAATTCACTTCCACCCCAGGTGGAAGAAGGAGGGAAACTTGGGCACCTGTGTGCAGAGAGATCTTCAGTGCATGCCAGCCAAATCCGCAATCTGGATGGACCATAGCTGTGCATGCAGATAGACTATCAGTCTAGACACAGCTAAAGAGGTTTACCAGAACCCATAGCGGTTAACATACGTGTACCTGAAATAAGGGGTGTCATATCCAACTTCAACCTTCCAAGTAATGACAATTTTTCTTGTTCATCTCATCTCTTGCCAGAGAACCTGTGCTACCCTGTGTCACCCTCCATCAAAAAAAAACCAATCTAATTTTTGAGTAACATTCTTCCCTTAGTTTATATTCTGATGTTATTGCTTCTGCTGAAATGTAAATACTAATTAGAACAATTGCATTTAAGTTGATATAGCATGACAGCTTAAATTAATAACTTTAACCCCAAATCACTAAAGACAACTTTTCTCCACGAAGTCTAGCTTTTTTGCCTCATTCTGCAAAACAGCTATTCCCTTCACCCACTCCCACTACACTGCATGCATCATCTTTGTGTGACATGGAAGTAAGCATGCTTCAAGCCAACGGAGAAACTCTGGATTATTTTACTCAAGCCACTACTTAAAAGCATAGCAAAGGAATTAGTATACACAATAAACTACTATAAAACGAGGAGCAACTGATGATTGTTTGCCAGATCAGTTACCAGATGTTTTAACTGCTACTTGGTTTCCCGTTGGAGCCATCCCTTCACTCCTAATCAGATCTTCACTTGGGCTCCTAACTTGTGTGCATGCACCCTGTCTAGACATTCACTTAACATTTCCCTTTTGGACCGGTCCTCGTTACTCTCTGGCACAAAATAGCTCTGTTAAAGAATTTACGTGATAGCTAAATGTTCCAGCACTAAGCCTGGAGCACAAGTCTTATGAGGAGCGGCTGAGGGAACTGGGGTTGTTTAGTTGGAGAAAAGGAGGCTGAGGGGAGACTTTATCGCTCTCTACAACTACCTGAAAGGAGGTCGTAGTGAGGTGGGGGTCAGTCTCTTCTATCAAGTAACTAGTGATAGGATGAGAGGCAACGGCCTCAAGTTGCACCAGGGGAGGTTTAGATGGGGTATTAGAAAAAATTTCTTCACCAAAAGGGTTGTCAGGCATTGGAACAGGCTACCTAGGGAAGTGGTAGAGTCACCGTCCCTGGAGGTATTTAAAAGATGCATAGACGTGGCACTTCAGGACACGGTTTAGTGGGCATGGTGGTGTTGGGTTGATGGTTGGGCTCGATCATCTTAAAGGTCTTTTCCAACCTAAACGATTCTATGATTCTAAGATGGTACCACTTAGCTGCACAATTCCATCCTCTCATTGCAAAGACTGATGCCTGGGGTTGGGGGTTTCATTTGGAGAGCATGTTAGCAAAGGTGGGGTTTTTTTCCCCAACGCTTGCGATCTGCACACATGGTACTCCATGGTCCTAGGGACAGGAAACTTGTTTTATGTTGGGTTCTAACAAGGTGTCTGCTCCTTTACTGCTTCGTCGGATGTATTTTTTAAAACAACCACAGAGCGATAAAAAAAAAAACACACTTTACCGGACGAATTTAGGAACAGAAGGCAACCAGACGTGGCTGTAGGTGTTTGACTGGACTCCTGCAGGCGTGGCGGCGATTTCCCCCTCGGTCACCTGAGCCCTTTCACGCGTGACGCCCTCCTCCAATGTCACTGGTGCTCCTGCTACCACCGGCAGCCCGGGCCCGCTCTCCCCGGGCGCTCCCCGGGGCACGGTAGTGCCCCGGGGAGCGCCCGGGGCGAGCGGGCCCGGGGAGCCGGTGTCTCCCCGCCTCGGAGACGGCCCATCCCGGGGCGGGCCCTTCCCCCCGTCCCTCCCCTCCGCCCTCCCAGGCCTTCATAAGCCCGCGGAGTTTCCGCGTCCTGTGACTGCAGTCAGGTGGTGCGTGAGGGGGGTTGACCTTCCCTCCGTTCCCCTCAGCCTTTCCCCTCCCTCCCCTCACCGTCGTGGGCCGGCCCAGCGGGTGAGCCGGTTGGGGAAAAAGTTAGAGGGAAGTTGTCGGCTGGAGAAAAGCAAAAAAAAAAAAAAAAAAAAAGTTTTCTAGAGGCGGGAGAGCCGCGGCCCCGGCTGCCCGGCCTCCCCGCAGAGCTGCGCTCCCGGCGGAGGGTCGAGGATGGCCGGCGGGGAAGGAGCGGGCTCCGGCGTGGCCGAGTGCCGGGAGCATCTCTTCAAGGTGCTGGTGATCGGGGAGCTGGGAGTGGGTAAAACCAGTATTATCAAGAGGTACGTCCACCAGCTCTTTTCCCAGCACTACCGGGCCACCATCGGGGTGGATTTCGCGCTCAAAGTCATCAACTGGGACAGCAAGACCCTGGTGCGGCTGCAGCTCTGGGATATAGCAGGTAAGGGACGGGGGGTGGGCGTCTCTCTGCAGGGCGAGAGGAGAGCCCTGGGGGGCAGAGGCCTGTGAACCCGGCTGTCTGGGGTCCCGGGGCCCGGCCTCTGCGGAGGAAGGTGTATTTTGGTTGTGAAGTCTGGTGTCTTGTTTTTCCTCCTTCCCCTCGTTACCTGCAATCCCTCTTGCCTGCATTTGGGGCGTAAGTAGAGGGAGGTTTCTGCGGGAGTGAAATTTTTGGCTTTATAAGCTGTGTGTGCTCCCGTTAGCTGATGTTACAGGGCTCTTGGCTTGGCCCAGGGTCTTACAGCAGTCCTCAAAAAGCGGCTTTGCTCTGCCTGCTGGCTCCTGGAGGGTTCCTGCTCACACTGCTCCTCCTGACCTGCTTGCCGGGGCACTTGTGACCTCGGTTATGACTGTTGCTTGAATTCATTCATGGTTATGGCCCTGTAGCCCTTGTAGAGGAAATAAATGTCTTCTCCAAGTAGCTTATCTTTAGTAAGCACACCTTACAGGTTAAAGGTAACTCAAATAGCTCAAAATGTCCTCAAAGGAAGCATGCTCAAACTTTGTATGTTTGGAATCACCTGCTTAATTGAAAAGTAACTTGTGTCGCTGCAACGTGGAGTGAGGGAATGGGACTTGTGTTTAGTTCTGCATTCAAATCATGGGTTTGTGTATCAAAAAAGGTATTCTGAGCACACAGAAGCAAGAAAAGCCCTGTTCACTTGTCCAAACTACATGTCATTCCTTTCCGGTATAGAATTCAAAACTGTTCTTTAGCACCTCTGTTTTAAAGACCCCAATTGTATACCTACCATGGTTGTCTTTCTTTATGCTGTGGTGTTGAATGCCACAGAACAAACTCTGTTTTGCTGTGGTCTTGTAAGAAGTCTGTCCCCTCAACTCCTTAATGATCTCGAGTTGGTATTGCATTTCTAGTTTTGTGTGCAGCCCAGGTATTAACCTGCAGCTCTCTTCATCCCTCTCTACCACGTTCAGAATATCTCCTCGGATACAAAAAAATAGACTTTATTTCAAATGCTGGTGTTTAAGCTTATGCTACTGGAAGATACTGGGGTAACAGCTGGTAGTTACTGTTTCCATGAACTCTAGGCTTTAGCCAGTGGGAGCTCTGAAAAGAGGAAGCGTAGCATGTGGCTGCTGTAACCCTGTGACAGACCAGCTGTACATCACCTTCTGGTCTTTCTAAAGGTTATCTTAAAACGCTTCAAATATGACTCCTCAAACTAAAAAGCCTGCTTCATGCTGCTGTATGCTGAAACACACGATAGATCTTTCTGCTGCTGGCCTGTAAGGGCAAGCTAAGATATCTTCTAATTGCTGTTTTGGAGAGCAAGTAAAATCCTGGCAAGCTTTCTCTTTTGATGTGTCCCTTTTATGGATCAGTTTTAACTTTCTGTAAATCAATTAGCAGTATCAATACGAGCTGCTACAATGCTCTGGATATATTTCAGCAAGTCTGGGGTTCCAAAGATTGAAGCAGGGAGACTGTCAGGATCCTGGGTTTTGGCAGGCTGCCAGGCTTGTGTTTAACTTCTCAGCCCTTGGGTTTCTGGGACTGGGATAGGCTGTGTGCTTTGCCAAAGCAATCTGTTTCAACAGGCTAGGCAGAAACTTAGCTGTAACTTGTAACAAAGTTTGGACCAGAACCTATTTATGCTATGGGAAGTCCTATCAATACACCCATGCATTAATTTAAAGATCTAGAAAACAGTATCTTTCACTCTTGATTATTGCCTATAGTGTATCTTGGACACTGCTAGGTGAAGACTGACTTAAGAGCTGCTGATAAATCCCTGGAGGCTTGTGCTAATATTGCTGATAGATTGAAGAATCCAAATTTTTCCTGTTGCAGAAATATTTTTCCTATTTTATGTTGTGGTGTACTTTTGTATGAAACTCCTGACTAGTCTTTGCCTAGCAACAATGAAAAAGGGAAATGCAACTGTTCTGCAATTTGCACTCCAAACTCTTACGTCTAAGCTGGTAGCTTAGGCTATTCTGTTTCCAAGGGGCTGGGGGTCCTTCCCCAATCAAAAAACAAGACCAAGGAAAGAAGTAATCTTAGTGATTTTTTTTTTTTTAATTGGGCTGTGCTTAGTGAGTATGAGAGTAGCAGTTCAGATTCCTACAGAGCTTGACATCTCAGTTAAGCATTAACGATTAAAATAAAGGGGATTTTAGTATCCATAAGGGTTGTTTCATGGTCTTAAAACTGTTGAAGTCCTCGACCTGGGAATGTGTTCTGCAGCTGTCTACATCTATAATCATGAATGTTTCTAAATACCTGAGGATGTTAACAGGCTTATGTAGAAATTCCTAGTTAAGAGAACCAGGTTGAAGATGGCTTCTATATAGTCATAACACATATTCCCTAAAGCGCTTTGTTGAAGTGTGTAACAAAATATCTGAGCATGTGATAGTCATTCCCTTTTAACTCGTGAGCCCAACTGTCTTCTGGCTTTCAAAAGCTCATGTAGATAATTTTCTCTGCTGGTGTGTGCAGACAAACAGCTTTAGATCTCTTGAGTTCTAAATCTTATGCTAAGTAATGTTACATGTGACTTCCCTGCAAGCAATATGGTGCTGGCATTCTGAATTGATTTTTATGCATTTAAAAAGGCTTCTGAATTAAAGTCTAACCCTTAAGCATAGCAAGGCATGTTATTTTTCACTAGGTCAAAGCTTGTACTTAACAGTTCATCATGAAAAGCTTTCCTCAAAGAGCTGGGTGCTGCAATCTAAGGTTCTATTCCTAAATCAATGATAAGAACTAACCATGCAGTTCAATCATCAGCTAAAGATTATAATGCAGATACTGTGCTGGCTTCCGGTGTGATTGTAGCGAAAGTGATGAATGTTGTGCTGTGTATTGCAATGCAGCAGGTTCCTGAGTGACTTCAGTTTCTTATGCTAACTGAGGGGGTTTTTGTGATTAGAAAATTCTATCAAATAGAGCATGACAATGTTACACTGCTTATGCCTTTTTCTGGTGAAAATAGCCTTCTTGTTGTAAGGTACAAAGTAATGCAAATTCCTGCAGCGGAATCAGGGGGAAGGGGTGTGAAATTGTAAAGGGTGAAGAAGGGTACTGCTGTGCCTAGACTTGTGTATTCCAGAAATACTCAGGCATTCTAGTTTTTAGACACAGGTTGTAGCTGCTTGAATAATGGAGATGAAAAAGCTTGGGACTGAGACTGATCAGTTACTGTCAAATTACCTCGGTTGCAGCATGAGGTATTCTGAAGGAAACTGAACAGATTACATGCATGTTCCTACAGGAGCAAAGCTTCTAAACCTTAGCTGCCCTTAGGCATTACTCTTGTTTTTTATCTTGACATGTGGAGTTATGATAAATATCTCTTCCTGGATAAATTCTGAAAGCGTTGGAACTAGGTTAACCCCCTTGATCAAAGGACATAAATATTTGGTGAAATAAACAGGAGATAGGAGTGAGTCATTGTGGTAAAGAGATACAAAACAGAGGAATCTTAATCATAGGGAAGCGCTTTGAAAGTCTATTTCAATACACTGGAGATTCCTACTTGACAAGCATGCTGTTTTAGTGAGTATACTGCACTGACCACAACATAGTGTAGGAGGCGAATACAGCATATTGATGAAACTCAGTCAAATAGCATTGAAAGGACACTTGAAGGATTTTCTGTATCATAAAAACTTTTGATCTGATCTAATAAGACCAGCAACTGAGTAGTGTTAGCTGCTGCTTTATGATCACATTGACTATCACTGTCACTCATACCAGCCTGTATGAACATGCAACTTGCTGGAGGGCAGGGGTGGTAAAAGTCAAAGACGACCACTTGAGCTTGGCTTCTCCTGAAGAATGTCACTAATGACAACTAGCAGACAAATTTGTTTTTAAAGCTTTGACTGAGCAATTCTGCATTAACTTTGGTGTAGTAGCACCCTTCTTCCAGGACTTTATTAGAATTTATTTGGAAAAATATTAAAACTGAAGTAGTGCTTTAACTGGAAGAGTGTGGCTATAAAATTGGGCAAACAGAAGAGGAATGATTGTACTTCAGTATTGTAAACATGCTCTAAACAAGCTTTCATGAGTTGAATGGTAAGACTTGTAGAATGGAAATTTGTTACTAAACTCTTGTCTGTCTCCTTGAAAAGTTCTGGACTCTAACTTGTTAGAAGTATATACTGGTCCCCAAGAGAATGGAGAAATCAGATGAAGTATTTTGCTCAAATACTAGGCTGAGGAAGAGCTGGAATAACCCATCTTTTCTATGAAGACTAATGATTCTTAGGTATGTGAGTTGATGTTAAGCTTTTAACTTACTTAGGAAGTTAACTTGCTCTCATCTATAGGAAGCCATGAGAAATGGCAAAGTAAGTGCAGGAAACCATGGATGTGGGAGAAGGAGGAGGATATTATAAAACTTACTTCACAGCAGGGAAGAAAACTTAAACTGAAATGAGCACTTGCAAAGCAAGACAATGAGGACAAAATTCAAGCCTTCTTGCTTAGATAAGCAGGAGTGATGCTGCACTTGATAAGATTTTCTGTCCCAGTGGAATAAGATCTATCTCCTCTGGAAAGGTGGAGCGCTCAGTAGCTATGCACTTCTGTGGAACATAGCTTTGTACTGTTGTGTATTTTGGTGGCTGAGTTTCAAAGGCACTCAGGCTGTTCCAGTATGTGAGATAGCATTTTTCCATGTGAAAAACCTTATAGTTTCAAGCAGCTGTATATTTCAGTTTTTCCTCAGTCTGTGTGTGTGCTACTGACAGAAGATTGCTAAGTTACTTCTATGTGCCAGGTCATTAACTTGTTTCTTGCATTGTGGACTGATTTTATTTTTTTTTAAATAAGGTCTAAAGCAAGCCTTGAGCGATGTTAATACATCCCTGAAAGTCTATAGGGGGCAACCAGAAAATTTCCTCCATTTCTTGTACATACATACATAGCTCTGCCATAGGGGTATGTACTTCAATTGCTTTTTCAGA